AAACAGTCAAGGACCAAACCATGGCGAAAGCTTGCCATTTAATCCTGTAGGTGGCCCTGAAACTCTTACAGGGAAGAATGAAGTGATAGCAATTTTGTTTGAAAAAGTTAGAGCCCAAGACCTGAGAGTTGTTTCTAAAATACTTGCTGTTCTTGCAGAGAACCTGGGCATGGCTCCCAGGAACCACATGATAGCTTACAAGTGTCTGCAACGCTAATGCCAGGGTATCTGATACCCTCTTCAACTAGAAAATTGCATCCGTGTGTTGCATACGCATACATACAGGTGAACACTCATGAACATAAAATAAAAAAATAAATAAATACATCTATTTTTTCTAAAGTTGGGACATACAGTCAAATGTGGAGAGAACCAAGCCAAAGAACGTAAGTCATAGGAGAAATGGGTAAGGCCCACGACAAACAGGGCAGAGGCCGCGAGCAGAACACAGAAATGGACAAACGCAAGTTCTATTTAAAGAGCTTAATCTGTAGGTCTTATCTATGGAATGAAGGAGTGGGAAGAATCAAAGGGGATTCCTAACTTGCATGACTGATTAGAGAGCTGAGACAGCAAGTGAGACAAAGAACTGAAAAGTTATCAGCTTAGGGAGAAGATGACTCGTTCAGCTCCAACATGTTGCACTTGAGATGCCTGTAGGACATCCAGGTGGCGTTCTGAACGGGCAGTTGGATATACAGGCATGAAGATCAAGGGGCAGGTTGAGACTGGAGGTAGGACTGGGAGTCATCAGTAAATAGGCTACAGTTGAATCCATAAAAATAGATCAGGAAAAGCTTGGGGAAACACGGCTGTGAAAATTCAGAGCGTGAACTCTTAGAGGCAGAACTGTAGTATAGTTTGTACAGTTCTAGGTACAGTCCCCTCGAAAGCCAGACTGAGAAATTCATTTCAGATAAGGGCTTCTAGATCCTCATTGTTTTGGCAGTAAGAGGGTCCTGTCTGACACTGAAATGTGTAATAAGGTGGCAGGAATGAAGGGGGCATCAATTGTAAAGATACACCAAACAGAGCAGTGGGGTTGGGGGGGGGCCTTCACAAGGCCTTTTATCTAATGAGGGTCGTGTTGGATTTAGAAGAGAAAAGGAAAAGCCTTCATCATGTTTGTTCACTCGGGAAAAATATTTGTGTTAAAAATACAGGGGCTGGAGAGATGGTTCAGCAGTTAAGAACACTGCCTGCTCTTCCAAAGGTCCTGAGTTGAATTCCCAGCAACCATATGATGGCTCGCAACACTCTATAATGAGATCTGGTGCCCTCTTCTGGCCTGCATGCATACATGCAGGCAGAACACTGTATACATAATAAATAAAGAAATCTTTTTAAAATAAAATACAATAAAATAAAAATATAGATAAGATTGAGGCTGTTGGAGCAATGCCTCCTTCCACTAACCGGCAAGCAGTCAAAATCCCTGGGGCAAGGTGGGGGAGGTATGTGTCTCCTCTTCATTTATTTGCAATGGATTATCTTGATGTTTTCATTTTGTAGCTTCCCGTTTCAAGGACTAGGACACAGTTTCCCCATTCCTCTACCACCCACCTTCCTGTTCAGGAAACTGATCGCTGATAGTTTGTTCTGAATAAAATGAGTCATTTCATTACCTGCAAAAGAAGTCTCACTTTTTTTTTTTTAATAAGTGACTTAGATTAGAGAGGTCAATGCCTGGTGATTGATTTAGATTAGAACACAGTACCTGATGTGGGTAGATTCATTAGTCATTAGAGGCCTCCAGCCTTTCTAAGATGATTGGGTATAAAATGTTGCATTAAAGATAGTACTCTAGCTTTGGAGCACTCTGTCCTAAATGGGAGGTCTTCATCAAGCCCCTCCCTTCAGGGTTTAAGGGGCAACGCAGAAAGGAGGTGGAAAGATTGTAAGATCCACAGGAGATAGATGGCATCAAAGAAATACATCTTCTAGACAGAGTAGATGGACACACATGTGAATCCACAGAAACCGTCACAGCATGAACAGATCTAAGCCAGATGCAGTTCCCGTGCTGAGAGAGAAAGCAACACACGCCTCCATCCCTAACCCAGAGGCTATCTCCAATTGACAACCACATGCAAAGGAAAATTCAGTTTTCTCCAATGGCATCTCACTGGGTCTATAAACCACACTTTCTTAAGGGTAGGCCTCGTGTCTGGTAGTAGATAGGCAGTACAATTGAACTCAGTGCGGGTTCTGTAGATTGTTTTTGTCGCACAGCTCTTTCTTTGGAAATTTTTAATCTTGCTGGTGCTTGTATGTTATGGTTTCCAGTTCTGTGTTTTTATGGATTTTGTTTTTGTGTGTGTTTCTTACATGTCTTTGCTGTTTTTGTCATTATCATCAGCATTATTATTTGTATTTTTTTATTTTCCTGATTTCTGAGAAGAGAGAGAAAGAAGGGATGGAGTCAGATAGGTGGGAAGGATCTTGGAAGAGGAGATAAGGGAGGGGAACCACAGTCAGAATATATTGTTTTAATTTTCAGTTAAAAAAAGATAGTTCTCCAGGGGGGCTAGAGAGATGGCTTAGTGGTTAAGATAGTACTCTAACATGAATAGTTGGTGCTACCAGTTAAATTCGTCTTTCTCTTAAGAAAGATAATTAAACAGGAGATAAACAGAGTGTCATTGCCTTATGTTAAACTGGTATTGTGTCTCTGTGTGGTAACCGGACATCCCATATTTTGCAATGCCAGATCCTAGAACATTAGTGTGGCTGGGGACGCTGGACCCTGGGTGCTTGATGCAGCACGAGGTAGGCCATGATGTCCAGAGGTTCACTGCCAACTTTAAAGAATCTAAATAAGATTCTGAACTGCCTGGAGTAGCATTGCCCACACTGTTTTATGTTCTGCCTTGGTGAACACAGGATCTGTATTTGAAAAGAAATCCTCTGTTTTGTGGATTCTCGGATAAATGCTGTACTAAATGATCCCAATGCCCTTACAATAAATACAGTTGAACTTGAGCTGAGGATGGTGGTGCAAGCCTTTCATCGTCAGTCACCGGGCCCTTTCTCCTGGTTCATTCGGTCAGGCACCTGTGTGCATGCGTACAGTACTTTACAAATGAACAGCAGGGTCGGAAGTTGAAGCATAGGTGTAGTAAGGAACAGTGTAACCTGGAGACTGGAGAGGTGAAATAACGTAAAGTTGACATCTGGCCAACAGAGCTCTTAAACTGATCTTCTGGAGTGCAGCAACCAGAGCAAGGCTATAGATGTCTCCTGATGAGAAGAGAGGCCGCTTAAAAAGTGCCATCAGAGCAAATCCCTAAAGGGCAGCTAGCAGTAGAAAACATTGGTCACAACAAGTATCTCTGAGTGACGGTGTCATATCTTTTTTGCTTCTTTATTTGTTTGCTTTTTAAACTCCCTGTGGCCCAGGGTTTTCTAAACCTCATTCTATGCTCCAGACTGGGATCACTTAAGAGGATCCTCGGGTATCAGCCATCCACATACTGGAATTATAGGCCAAAGATGCCATTCCCAGGTTGATGCCTTATTCTTAAATACAATTTTTGAGAGAGAGAGAGAGAGAGAGTGAGTGAGAGAAAGAGAGAGAGAGAGAGAGAGAGAGAGAAAGAGAGAGAGAGAGAGAGAGAGAGAGAGATGAAACAAACGCATAGGAGTTGGCTTCCAAGAGATGCATGTAACTAGAGCAAAGTAGGAACTCAGACTAAAGGAAAATTGAAGTTAAAGACAAGGAATCACTGGGAGTGTAAGACAATAATCTATAATATCATATAATCAAACTGCTCACTTTAAAGCACAGTTGGCTCCCAGAGCCAACACTGAAGGTCTAGGGACATGGTTCTCAACCTGTGTGTCTTGACTCAGTTGGGGGTTGAATGACTCTTTCACAGGGGCCACATAAGACCATTGAAAATATCTAACATTTACATTATGACCCATAATAGGTGAAAAATTGCAGGTTTGAAGTAGCAAGAAGATAATTTTATGGTTGGGGGGGTCACCACAACATGAGGAACTGTATTAAAGGATCTCAGCATTAGGAAGGTTGAGAACCACTGAGCTATGGGCTAAGCTCTCAGAGAAAGGAAGGTGATTAAGAAGGTGTTGTGGAAACCAGTGACAATGTGCTCACAGGAAATCTGGAAAGCCTCAAAAGGAACAAAACTCAACCCTTAAAACATTTAATCTTGTGCCTTAATCCTCAGCATCTTTGTCTCATTCAAAACTTGGACTCCTTTGAAGTGACACAGTTTTTGAATGTGCCGTAATTAAACAGTTGGGTGGGGGCGAGTGTAAGAAAAGCATTCCTTATTATTTGCCAAAATTGTGAGGTGCTCTGAAATGGAATTAGAAATTAGAAATACCAGCTTCTAGCTGCGTTGCTTTAGTTTGATCCCATTCCTCTGGATTCTTGGTCTTCTTTTTTAGCTAGTCATGATTTCGAGACTAGCTAGCATGCAAAGTGATTCTCTAAGTGAACAGTCCTTCAGCAGTACGCACTTATACGATGGCAGCATATTTCCTACGGTCAATTACATGTTCTTTAGCCTTAGGACAAGGTCACCTTGTTGCTCTTCAGCCCCCGTTCACAATCCCGTCTGACCCCGTCCAGGCAGTTCTGGAACACTTACACCATGGAAATTGTTTCCTATTTTGTTCTCTGAGCCTGGAACCACATCAAAAGTTCCTTGGAGGTTATTCAGGTCGAGATCAGTTTTAGAAAAGGTATTTGCTTGTTGCATATCTGCCTGACACATTTCCAGTTCAGTGAGCCTGCCTTTTCTGTACTGGCTTTTGGAAAATTCAAAGTTATTTCAGTCGTAGCTATTAATTGCCATAGCAAGTAAGACATTCGTTCTGATGAATCTTTACGTGAAATCAATTTTGAGTGTTAAAATTGCCCGTGCTTAATAGTTAAAGTTGCAATGCTAGTTTTGTGGTGTAACTTAAAATGATTTTCCATTTGGAAAGTCTTAACAAAAGTCATAGGTCAAAACTAGTCAAGTTGTCATGTACTTACCTGACAGGGGAGATACCATGATCACAGAAGTGGTTTTCCCAGGGCAAGCCTCATCCATTGCAGTCCAGTTCTTGAGATTTCTCCAAATGTGGGGAATTTGAATGCATTAATTTGTGGCACCGGGGAACTGTGTTCCTGCTCTCCCCTGAATAAGATAAAGTAAATGTGACATGTCTACACATTCTAAAATAACTCTGTGCCCACATTGTTATTTACATAAAAATAAAAGAAGACCTACAATTGCAAACTGAGAGATGTCTCAACATATTTTAAGGTAAGGTAAAAGTTACTTCTGGGTTGTAAAGGACAAAACCCCTGTTCTCCCTGCACCAAGTCAGGCATCAGGTAGGTGATCCCCTATTGAGTTTTTATATGTCAATTACATGAATTTCCACTCCCAAATTATTCTCAGTACTTCAGTTAGCATATTGACATAACACTTACTATTGAAAGACTAATTGTACTTGAAAATAAAGTTGGAAGTCCATAACCATGACTACCATATTGTAACCTAGATCTTTGCTGTGATAAATCTTTATTATAAGATGTGCTAAATGGAAGACTCTATTATATTGAACAATGCTATCACTATCATGGTTCATGAAGATCCATTGTCCTCCACTTATCCTTAATTTAAAATATAATTCACGACAGAAAACTTAGAAAATAGGCAAAGTTAAAGTTAAAAGGACTTACTTTGTATTAAAGAGGGTGAAAGATTTGTTATTTGACAAGTCATATGTGTATATGCCATTAACTGTATTGTTATTAATTGCATGTAGTGAGTCCTTTCCTTGCTAGGAATGCACACCCACTGTCCTCTGCTGCCAAGCACAGAGCAGAGTGAAAATGCGTAGCTTAGTATTAGTCCCTGGCAGAGGTGATCTGTGTGCCAATTTACCTAGACCCTTTGTCCTGATTTCGAGCCCTAACACTTTCATTGATGTATTCTAACAACTCACACAGTTTACTGTCATTGCTCAGAGGCAACCTAACATTTGTGCCACTAGCTACTCTCTTTCAAAGTCATACTACACTTGACACAGGAGTTGGATATTACGAACCCCAAATGGCCTCTGACTGTTGGGAGGATCCCAACTTGGCTTGTTTCCACATGAGATCAAACAAAAAGGAGCTTTTGACTGTACAGGTGTCAAACAACTTTTTTGACAGAACATATCCATCTTTTAAAAACTTGCCTAAATTGCCTTTTCTCCACTTTCCAGACTGGAGCTAAAATAAGGAGATGTTTTGACATCTGGAGACAGGTAGCAGTTTGAAGGCTGGATGCTGATCTTTACAAATGAGTTCAAAGAAATAATGGGCATGGAAAGAGATCCTCAACCCTATCATAAATTAGCACCAGTCTCCTTAATGTACGTGGGGACTATTCATTACATGGAAACAACATGATGTCTGACCTTGTAGATCTGGTCCCAGACAATGTCTTTGAAGTCACTTCATTCTTGTTCCTACTTCAAGTATCTTAGACATGTGTCTTTATATAGTCCTCCGGAGGAAAGGGACCATATCTGAATTCTTCCATGTGGCTTCTAGCACAGAGAACTGGGAATATTGAAAGATAGGTCTTACATGGGGGAGGGAGGACTCATATGAAATACTACCTTGTTTTGTTTCTCTTTTGATTGTTCATTGGAAAAGGATTACATGAATTCTGGTTTAAGAGTTTAAAAATAAGTTGAACAATAAAACTAAACACCCCCTTGTACATTGTGGACATTTGAAATGTGTTACATAGCTCATTTTTGTCCACTTTATAATTTTTTAATTTTAGAAACAATCTTATTTTACATATCAATCCTCCCATTCCCTACCCTCCCATCCTCCCATGCCTTTCACCCACTCCCCAAGGACAGTGAGGCCCTCAACAAGGGCCATCAAAGTCCATCATATTATTTAAGGCAGGGCCTAGGCCCTCTTTCTTGTATCTGGGATACAATAGTATCCCTCCATAGGGGTTGGGCTCCCAAAGTCCATTTGTGCTCTAGGGATAAACACTGGCTCCACTGTTAGAGGTCCCATAGACTGCCCAGGCCTCCTAGCTGGCACTCACATTGAATGGGCTTGGTTCGGTCCAATGCTGGCTCCCCAGTTTTAGGACTAGGGTCTCCATGCTCTCACTATGTCAGGTCAACTGTTTCTGTGGGTTTCTCCAGCACAGTCTTGGCTCCTTTGCTCATCCCTCCTCCCTCTCAGCAAGTGGATTCCAGGAGTATGGCTCAGTGTTTAGCTGTGGGTGCCTGTTTCTGCTTTGATCAGTTACTGGATGGAGGCTCTAGGAATGGCAACTAAGGTAGTCTTCAATCTCATTGTAGGGGAAGGCCATCAAATGCAGCCTCTCCACCACTGCCTAGATTCTTCGCTGGGGTCATCCCTGTGGATCCCCAAACATTTCTCCAGTACCAGACCTCCCTCCAATCCTATACTGGCTCCCTTTATCAAGGCATCTCCTTTCTTGCCCTCCTCTATTCCTCCCCTGTCTCAGTCCTCCTGATCTCTCCTGTTTGTCTCTCCCTCCCCTTGTACTCCTCTCCTCTTCCCACTTCCCTCCCCTCCCCCTCACCCCCCATGCTCCCAATTTGCTCAGGGGACCATGTGTTCTTCTCTTGGAGTCCTCCTTGTTTCCTAGTTTCTCTGGTGGTGCTCTATATCTAATAACCATATATGAGTGAGTACACACCCTGCTTGTCTTTCTGTGATTGGCTATTACAAACTACACTGCTATGAACATAGTTGAACATATTCCTTTTTTATGAATGTGCATTCTTTGGGTATATGTCCAAGAGTGGAATTGCTGGATCTTGAGGTAGATTGATTCCCATTTTCCTGAGAAACCATCATACTGATTTCCAAAGTGGTCATACAAGTTTGCACTCCCACAAGCAATGTAGGAGTGTTCCTCTTTCTCCACATCCTCTCCAGCATAGACTGTCATTGGTGTTTTTTCTTTTAGTCATTCTGACAGGAGAAAGATGGTATCTCAGAGTTGTTTTGATTTGCATTTCCCTGATGGTTAAGGATATTGACGATTTTCTTAAGTGTCTTTCAGCCATTTTAGATTCCTCTATTGAGAATTCTCTATTTAATTCTGTACCCCACTTTTTAATTGAATTGCTTGGTATTTAGGTGGCTAGCTTCTTGAGTTCCTAGTATATTTTGGAAATAAGCCCTCTGAGATTTTCCCATTCTGTGGGCTTCCATTTTGCCTTATTGACTGTGTCCTTTGCCTTACAGAAGCTTCTCAGTCTCAGGAGGTCCCATTTATTAATTGTCGATCTCAGTGTCTGTGCTACTGGAGTTACGGTCAAGATTCGGTCTCCTGTACCAATTCATTCAAGGGTACCTCCTACTTTCTCTTCTAAGAGGTTCAGTGTGGCTGGATTTATGTTGAGGTCTTTGATTCATTTGGACTTAAGTTTTGTGTATGGTGATAAATATGGATCTATCTTCAATCTTCTACATGTCAGTGTCCACTTATGCCAGCACCATTTGTTGAAGATACTTTTTTCTTTCCATTGTATAACTTTAGCTTCTTTGTCAAAAATCAGGTGTTCCAGGTGTGTGGGTTAATATCAGGGTTTTCAATTAGAGTCCATTGGTCTACCTGTCTATTTTTGTGCCAATACCAATCTATTTTCAGGACTACAGCTCTATAATAGAGCTTAAAGTCAGGGATGGTGATGCCTGTGGAAGTTCTTTACAATACAAGGTTGTTTTGGCTGTCCTGGGTTTTTTGTTTTTTCATATAAAGTTGAGTATTGTTCTTTCAAGGTCTGTGAAGAATTGTGTTGGGATTTTGATGGGGATTGCATTGAATCTGTATATTGCTTTTGGCAAGATTGCCATTTTTACTGTGTTGATCCTACCTCTCCAAGAGCATGGGAGATCTTTCCATTTCCTGGTATCTTCTTTCTTTCTTTAAAGACTCAAAGTTCTTGATATACAAGTCTTTCACTTGTTTGATTAACATTGCCCCAAGATATTTTATGTTGTTTCTGATTATTGTAAAGGGTGATATTTCTCTGATTTCTTTTTCAGCCCATTATTATCTATATATAGTAGGGCTACTAATTTTTTTAGTTAATCTTGTATCCTGCCACTTTGCTGAAGGTGGTTATCAATCAGCTATAGGAGTTGCTGGTAGAGTTTTTCTGGGTCACTTATGTAAAGTATCCTATCATGTGCAAATCGTACACCGCTCTTTTTGTTTGTTGGTTGGTTGAGTTTGGTTTTGATTTTTTGGGTTGTTTTTTTAGACAGGGTTTCTCTGTGTTGTTTGGCTGTCCTGGAACTGCCTTTGTAGAGCAGGCTGGTCTCAAACTCAGAAATCTACCTGCCTCTGCCTCCTGAGTGCTGGGATTAAAGGTGTGCATCACCATGCCTAGCCCATAGCTTCATTTTAGACTTACATTCTTGGTTTTAATCCTATTTTTTAAAAGTGTTGGGCTTTCAACACTTACAGTTACTAGACTTATATAACACTGGGAGCAATTTAGAATTTATTTCTACATAAAATTTTTTTGGTAGCAATGAGAATGTATGAAATGTTTTTTAATCTGCAGAACAAGCATTGTTCTTTCCATCTCACTATTGAAAATTGTATACATGTAGCTACATTTTCAAATATTTATAACTCAATGGCCTTTCTCACACTTTTCTTTGCTTATTTTATATATGAGTATATGCATGTGCACATGTGTGTCAATCAGAGAAAACATTCAGAAGTCAATTGTGTGGGTCCTGGGAAATTGAACTCAGATTATTGGGCTTGATGGCAAGCTCCTTTATCCCCCAAGCCTTCTTTCAGGCTCCTTTAACCCAAATTTTACAGTTAAGTTCCAGAAAGAATAACACTGAAGTTTGCTCCCTACAAAGAAATCATCTATCTCCACCCACAGCTAAAACTTTGCCAAACTCCTGGAATCCAGTTGCAGACAGGAAGAAGTGATGAGCAAAGGGGTCAAGACCAGGCTGGAGAAACCCACAGAAACAGCTGACCTGAACAAGGGGAGCTCATGGACCCCAGATTGGTAGCTGGGAAACCAGCATAGGACTGATCCAGACTCCCTGAACAAGGATGTCAGTTTGGAGGTCTGGTTAATCTATGGGGCCTCTGGCAGTGGATCAGTATTTATCACTAGTATATGCATGGACATTGGGAGCCCATTCCACACACAGAGATACTCCTTCAGCCTAGACACAAGAGGGCGGCCCTAGGCCCTGCTCCAAATGATATGATAGACTTTGAAGACCCCCTACAGAAGGCCTCACCCTTCCTGGGGAGCAGGAAGGGGATGGGGTAGGGAGTCACTAGGGGACAGGGGAAGGAGAGGGAACTGGGATTGACATGTAAAACAAGATTGTTGCTAATTTAATTAAAAAAGGAAGGAAAAAATAAGTCTATCTTAATGTAGGTATAAACAGAATAAACAATGTAAAATATAATTGGCAGTTTAACAAACATTGAGCATGGGGTTAATGCCAGATTCTGTCCCAAACACTTTGCTTCTGACTTTTGACCTCTGAAAATGGGCAAATGAGGCTCACGATGTGTTCTGTTCAGTATGTTTCTCCGCAGATCCCAATCTGCCTCCACCTACTCAGGATGCACCTCAGCTTCTGGAATTATGCAGTGTGATGTTAGGTGTACTTGGGACAAGCCACTCCAAGGAACTCAGTGATTACTGAGTTTTTCCAGCACAGGCTACACCTGGGCACTGGTCTTGTTAACTAATTCCTACTGCTCTGCCAGGCACACAGATGTGTGTTTTCGGGCATACATCTGCACCATTCTCTGCAGACTCATTCTGTCCTCTCTGTACTGATAGCCACCGGGCTTCCAAAGCCTAGACTCCAACAAGCTGGGTCATTTGGTGAAACAGGGATTTTTCTTCAATGTTTGCTTATAGTGTGTTTGCAGAGCATGGAACTCAGCCAGACAACTTTATCCTTTATCCATGAGCAGCAATAAGCTATATCTGTGGTCAAGTAGAAAGCAGTTTATGGTTTTTCCCTCCAAGGCTTCTTATCCCTGGTAACTCATACAGCCTGACCAGAATGTCTACCCATCAGTATGTTACACAGGCTTTGTGTACCAGACGCCCTCAGCACAAACATGAAGCTCACTATAAAAGCACACTGTTATTCAATCCATGTTTTCCTCCTGCTCCTAGTAGACCCTGATTCAAGAAGAATGGCTAATTAAATCTGCTTGTAAATATCCTGTTGACAATCAGGATGAGGACAGGATGAGAACTGTTCCCTAGCTATTGGGTTATAAAGGCAATAGGGGAAGGTATCCCTGGCTGGCATGTATCTGTGAGGAGCAGAAGGAAAACTGGAGAGGAGAGTGGTGTTTCTGAAGGATGGTACGAGATTCAGAGAGCACAGCTCTACCTGGGACTTAGACTGTGAACCCTGACTGCAGTTATGGCTCAATGGCTCTGAGTATTTAACATGTACCAGACTCTGGGTTCAATTATAAGAACAGACACACATACTCATGGGAACACACACAAACAAAAACATACACAACACACACACACATACACATGCACACACATGCACCCCACATTACAGATAATAAGGCTATGGAAAGAAGAGGATCACAGACATTGCTGTTCTGTTTCCCCTCCCCTCTACACACACACACACACACACACACACACACACACACACACACACAAACGCACACTCACACACAGCTCCTAACAAGGTTTTCATTTTGGCAAGGACGGATCAAGTCATGATGAATTTTGAGGGTAGACTCGATTCATATTTATGGAAAAACAGCTCACACAGAAAGCCCTCCCCACAACCACCAACTCGCAGTAATTTTTGTTCTCAAGTGATCATGGTTATATTCCTGTTTGTTTGTTTGTTTGTTGAGGCAGGGTTTCTCTGTGTAACTTTGACTGTCCTGGAACTCACTTTGTAGACCAGGCTGGCCTCAAACTCATAGAGATCTGCCTGCCTCTTCCTCCCAAGTACTGGAATTAAAGGTGTGCGCCATCACCGCCTGACCCTATATTGATTCTTAACTTGTATTGTAGAATTTGACATGCATCCCCCAATTGCACAGTGCACTTTACTCAACTTGTGGCTTATCTCTTCATTAGTTCCCAAGTCATTGTACGTCACTAACCTTGTGATGGATTCTTCACTTGCAGCCGGTAGATCATTGGTGAACTTAGTTATTTGTTCTTGCAAGAGATATTTTTAATATTTTTCTTAATTACTGATAGACTATATGACCATTTTCTGTAGACTCATCTGGGTTTTCAGAGTAAATGATTATATATTTCCACATAATGTTATGGTAATCTCCTATAATGAAATATTTCATAATGCTGAAGTGTTTTTGTGTCCTGAAGTAAATTGTATTGCTAGTAGTGTAGCACATACTACTTCAGCGTATTTTAATGGATTTAATTCACAATAGCAGTTTTAAGGGAATTTTTGTTTCTATACATATACTTTGGTAAATCAAAACTGAAATAATTTCATTTGTCTGCATTCAAGGTTCAGTATCAAATGATAGTGACATTAGAAAAAATTAGTGTAGAAACACAATCTTTTATTATTCCATAAAAACAGCTTTAAAAATCAAGGCAAAGTGAACCAAGTGTGGTTGCACCAATCACCCACATCTGACAGGGACATTGGTGATTCAAGAGCATTAATTAGCCTGGCCTTCCACAACTTCTGGGAGAACCCATCATCTCATCGCCCTTTCTCCAAGATTAACTCCAGCTCTCTAAAATCAGAAGTAAACTACCAAGTTTCCCATTGAGACAAGGCAAAACCCTGACACTTCCTTTAGGTGAAGTCTATTCCTCTCAGAAATACTGAAGTACATATTTTTGGATATCCTCTCTGTACATCTACTTAGGAGTAACAAACACATCAGCCTCAAGTATTAAAATAATGTTTAAAGTACTACAGCCTTGTGTTTTATGACAAACTTGCTTTCATTTTTCATGTAATTTGCACATAGACCCATTATGGCAATTTCAGAAGCCAAACTCAAGACAAAATCATATTTAAAAATTGTCTTTATTTTGGCTGCAGAACACTGGAATGATATTATTTCAAGGCTGCATGCTATATTTATGCATAAGTGTTTCCTTATATAAACTTCTAGAGTGTTGTTCACTGATGTTACTTGAGGACACAAACCTCCAAAATACAGACCTTCAGGGAAGCTCCAGTGCCCTCTAAGGCCTACCATACTTGAGCGCTGACCTAACCACCTTGTGGGGCAAAAACTTAGGAAGAATATCACTCTTGGGATATGGAATGTCAGCCCATGCTTAATGGCAAGCTGAGTTCTAAATCACAGTCCACGTGGATTCTTTGTCACAACTGGGTATTTTCACTGCCCTTCCTGAGAGTCACCTGATCTAAGGGCCTGATAGAGGAAAAGCCATCTCATCTCATCATAGCAATTCTCATAGAAAACAATTCAAACTCCAGGGTTTAGCAAGGGCTACTGGTTTTAAAATATGCTACTGGTAACTTTATTCCTCAAAATCTAACATTTTCCTTTTATTTTTCATTGTTAAGATCATGCACATTGATTATGTTTTTTTTTAAAGTCAAGATGAAAAGTTAATAGAACACAATTAAACCCACATGGAATCCTTACACTGAAAAGCAATGCTATTAACATTTTGATACAGATATTTATTAAGTTCCCATTTCAATATTTCTCCTAAAATGGTTGTGTTTACTTAATGTGTGTAACTATAGTACTCATTTCCCAAATATGTGGAGGTTTCCCCCATGGATATCCTGTTTTGTTTTCAGGAACTGTTTCCTGAACTGCATTCATTCTCCTATATGGGATCAAATGCTTTGTGCCTTAATTACTACATTACTCCTAAAAAAATAGAAAATCTATATGACACAATGTACTTCCAGCAGTCATCAGAGAGTACTTTCCTCCATCCCAAGACTGATAGAAAAACAATGTATTAGGCCTGCATGGCGAACATGGTGAAGTTCTTACTTAGTTATTTGTTTGTAAAGAGCTTCTAAACATCATCACTTGTACTTTCTTTCTTTCTCTTGTCTGACTTCCCACGGACATTACCCCCTCCCCAGTTTCTTTCTTGGTCCCTACTTGACTTCCCCAAACCTTCAGCTCTGATACCCTGAGTTCTGCTTTCTCTGAGGCAGAAGATAATGTTTTAGGCTTCCATCGGGGCAATGTTTTGCAAAATTTAAATGTAGACCAAAAATGTAACCTTATGAGTGTGGATATTTACAAAGTAGCCAAGAATCACACAAAAGTGGTAATATTTAGAGAGAGAGAACTGAGTGGTTGACTTAGGAAAGGAGATAGGAAGAAAAGGTTTGATTGTAAACTCTTTAGAATATTATCTATTCGAAATAATGTTTGAAATAAAGGCAGATGCATATACAAAAAAGCATATAAAGCTTAAAGCACAGGCTAGTTTTGCAGGCTCCATGACTTATAACGGTCCAAAGAAATGCAACTTCTAACTATAACACTATCATCTTTTGGGTTAGGAGTGGAAAAGTGCTTTTATTTTCTCTGAAAACAATGTGGGTTGCCATCTTGTTCCCTGACAGACTTAAAGTAACATGCTTGAATCAATGACATGGAAACTCACAATAGTGTCTGCTCTACTGTAGAGAGATAAAGTCAAATCAGATGCTACTGTATCTGGTCCAGATACTCACATGCTTGCACACCACACACACACACACACACACACACACACACACACACACCGTGTAGGAGAGGCATACTACGGAACAGTTCCTTAGTCTCTCTAGAAGCAGAAGACTAAAAGTGACAAGACTTCTTTCTAACTTCAGCTGTGATCTTTTGTGAGACACAGGTTACACTGGCTCTTGTTCATGTAGACCATCTCTGCACCCTATAGATAACATCTGTGTGGCGATGAAATGCAAGCATGACAGTCAGTTATATCGGTCTATGTGGGGTTCAAATATCTGTGGCTTTGCACCCCTAATTTCTTGTTCTTCACTTGCAGGTAGTGAAATCCAAGTTATCCAGAGAGCACCATGTTATCAAGATGAAAATATCCAAGAACCATATTGTGGGGAGATACTTCAGCAGTCAAAACAAGCTACAACGACAAAATGCTGCCCCAAATGTTCATTCACCATATCATGTCAGAGGCTCAATAAATCAGGTTTGCTCTGAAATCCTGCTCAGCAGGATGTGTGCAAGTCAGAGGTCTGCGCAGGCTCCCTGAAGGAGACCTAAGCCATTCACCTGGACAGTGGTCTGAGAACCAAATGTGCCTCACACATACTTGGCAATGATTGCACACTCCGCAGTTCAAGCATGCATACCAAAGCACACAGCTTTCAAAGGAGTAATGACACATTTTTCTCATAACTGAACACAGTCAAAAGTGACCTTGAGCATCCATTGTTGGTTTCAGACCAAAGGAAAAAACTCTAAAGGAGATCACTTGAAATGTGGTCACAAACTAGGACTACATGGACCAGGTATTGTAGTGCAATACGATAAACAAAACTTTGTGAAGAAGAAATTACATTCCACTTGGAGGGAGGGATAACAGTTAAGTTCTTTACCAGGAGAAAACGGGGTATTTATTGTGGTTTGAGCTTTGTGGATCTAATGCTTATGAAAAACATTTCTTGTTACACTTTTAAAAGTTTGTATTGGAAGGAAAAGAACAGGAGTGATGGTCTACCAGGGAATCCAAAGAGATTCTCTGCAAGCAATAAGCGATATTGTATTCAACTCTGTGTTCCCTTGAGTTCCACACACACACCCAACTGTGAGCTTAAATAGGGAGCACAGGCTAAATTAGTTATATGCATAATTTTAAAGTGTGGAACAAAATAAAGTTCCCCATTTGTTACTTTGTTATGTTTGTTTGTTATGTTAGGATGCCATTCCTAAAGAAGCTTCACTTGCCCCATAGATGTGTCTGATGTACAGTTACATTTTTGCAAAGGATTGCAGATTCTCAAATGTATAAGCATAAAGAATTCTCTATCTATCCACAGATAATACTATGTCACTAGTGCCTGTATTTTTATTTGAACAAATGTGTTTAATTCACATTAAAGTAAGCATACAAGTATTTGGGGGGGGGAAGTATGGCATAAGTAGGAAACATAGCTAATTCTAGCATTGAAAACTTACACTTCTATCTTTTTAGGTACAAAATAGTAGTTGCCTTATTACACAAATTCCTTGTTATGGGATAACATCTCACTACTATGGTGGGTTTAAAAGGATGATTTGGGAGTGAGGAGAAGAAGCTGAGAAGGCCTAACTCAGTATGTAGTTAAGATTACTAAATGTACAAATACCTCAAATTCATTGCCTTAAAAAGTGAAAGTATTTTGTTCTATTGACCCATCAATTATTTAGAATGAATATCCACCTTCAAATACTCTATTTTTATATATTTTTATAAAAATATAAACATGAATTTTTATTTAACTGTATTAAATTATGTTTAAGTATGAATATCACTTGATATAAACAACATATGCATTTATAGATTTTTTGAACAATGGTACTAAATTAACTTAAAAATGAAGGTATTTTCCATCATGCATCTATATACAAGCACTGTTTTTAGAGTTTTAGTTATTTCTGATGATATGAAACGTTAGTAATCAATAAAGCTGCTCCATCACATTTTAAGGCATTGCATATTCCACAATAGTATCACATTTAATGCTAGCTTTTTGTAATTCACTATCAGTGTCACTGTAAAAAACCTCTGACTTGAGTTCATCTGGCATTTTCCTTTTCACCATTGAAATAATACTAGATGTTAGAAACAATTGTAATGTATTTTCAATAAATGTCTAACTGGTAATCATCAGTGTTCAGAGAGTACCTTTTAACTTTCCTCTTTTAAAGTTTTTTAGATTTATTTTTTTGCTTTACCTATATGAAAGTTGTGCCTGCATGTATGTACTGTATGTGTACCACATGTATTCCTGGTGCTCAGCATTGGATTCTCGGGAACTGGAGTTACAGAGGGTTCTGAGCCACCTTGCAAATGCTGGGAATCCAGTTACAGACCTCTGCAAGAACAACAGCCCTTAGCCACTAAGCCATCTCTCCAGCCCCTTAGCGTCTCATCTACTACAGTTATACAATCACACAAAGAGTGCCTCCAGGGAAGGTGTACGGTCAAGTGGATTCTCATGCTGGAGTGTGATAAGCAGGATTAACCACATAGTTCCCTCAGCTCCGACACGACACAGCAATGGATGGGATGAACGCTGCTGAGACCAAAGCTTTTGAATGTAGTTTAATTGTAAGAATTTTTTTTAAGTTTTGTAAGAGAAGGCACTGACATTCCAGTGACTGTCTCATTTCTTACCTGAAGAAACTGTACTCCGCACTGAGTAACTAGATGTGAAATACGTGCCTTTACAAACATATTTTTCCATTTTAGGACACTTCAATTTGAGCAGGGAAAAATAGGAGTAGGCCTTTAAAAACATTTTAAGTGTGAAAGTTGCAGGAAGTGTATTGTTTTGAGTAAGAATTGATCAGCATCCAATCTAAACTAAACCTAAATCAAAACATTTATAATATTAAAAGTCAAGAATAGCTGCACAAACATTTCCTAGCAGCTCTGTTGACACTGGGTGGGAGTGACTGGGTGTGCCTGTGTGTGTGTGTAAGGGAGCATGTACATGTGCATTGTGTGTGTGTGTGTATTATGTATGTGTGTGGGTTTATATGTAAGTGTGTGTATTGTGTGTGAGCATGAGAGAGGGAGAATATGTATCCGTGTGTGTGTGTGTGTGTGTGTGTGTGTGTGTTTTAAAGGTGCAGTGTACTGTTCACCTGTAACCAAGCAGGACCTTATACAGAAGCCACAACACACTCACCCTTTCTTGCTGGGCTGGTTTACACTGGAGTCATTGAACCTTTATGCCCATAAGTCTTCCCTACAGAAGACTGAGTCTCACTTTAAAGCATTGGGAGAACTTACTGGAAACAATTCTAATGGAAATAAGGAAGAAAATAAAGCCCAATGGCGTCCTGAATCTTTAGTTTGTCCCTTCAGTTCCATTTCACTGAAAAATTCCAAATAAATATTTTTCAAAATGGGTCCAAAATCATAATATCCAATAAGAGATATTTTCACAGATCTAAAGCTTTGGCATGAAAGGCGAGAAGATGCATCTAGTGTTATAAAAGCTTGAGCCAAGAGCACACCAAGCATTCATTGTCCTTCATTTTAGCAAGTGCTGAAACAAAAATATAAGAAAACCACCAGCATCGATGCTAGTACTGTTGAACTTAAAATTAGCAAATGGAACAGTAACTTCAAAAGTGTGCATCCCAGCACCGAACAGCAGCACTCCACTCCACAGCCCTGCAAACCGTACTTTGACTTTTGTTGTTGTTTGCTGGCTGCCTTGCTAGTTTTTGAGAAGAGGCTCCCTATGTAGCCAACCCTGGCCTGGAACTCAACATCCTTCTAATGAATGCTAGGATTACAGTCATGAATCATCATGCCTCCCTTTATTTTTTATGTGCATTTAAATTTCAAATGCTTTTGATTACTCTTGGAAGTGAAGGCATTTCTGATAGATCATATCAGCCTAAGGAGTTGATCCAGAAGTTACCAGGCCCCCCTCTTCCCGCCCTGAAAACCTGCTAAAGACAACAGGATCTTGAGTATGTCTGCAAGCTAGATTGTGTTGGGCCAAGCTCCCAGGGCTTCATATGGTCTGAGAGTCTTTTATCATGTTTTTCTTGCTGCAGTAACTGCTGTTACCAACCTCCAATTCCTCTCGTGATATACTCACTTGGTATATGGACAGCCAAACTCATTTTCCCCTCAACAATACAAACTATATTCCTAACACCACAATATATCTACTTCTTATCTTTATGTTCAGTGAAATTTAAGGAATTTGCTTTGTGGATAACAGTGAGCCTTGGCACACTCAAAAATACACAACCAGCTTGTTCACTTTTACAGTTTACCAAGGGTAATCTGTAAGTCTAATTTCAATGTAAGTCAACATAATTCCTTAATTCTAACAAAAAGAATAAAGCTTACATTTAGAGAAAGCATTACAGCAGATTCCTACCGGATGGCAATGTTTAAGTAGGTTAGGTTTGGAACTGAATTCATCCTGATTGACATCTTAACTAATACTGTAGGCTTCTGCAGAGAACTGCTTTAATTTAGCTGGTAAAAGCCTTTTTTTCCTAACACTGAATTCATCTGGGAAAATTATATTTTAGATTAAGTTATGAAAAGACATTTCATATCTCAAACCAAGATTTCCCCCCAAGTCATTTATGTAAAACACACATAATATTCATTTTATAGAAGGTAATAGAAATATACACTTTTTGTTGCATAAAAAAGTAATTGATATGATCTCTGAAAGAATGCTTAGATACATTTAAAGCAAAGTGATTGTAGTTGGTTATAATCACATAAGCAGCCATAAGTAAGAGGGTTTCATAAACTTAAATGTGTGGTTCTCAACTACATTGGCTTTTATGATATGGTTAGTGGGCACAGTGTATCAATTTGATGAAGGTTTTAGTGTGAGCAAATGGTGATGGCATGTGATTCATGCGTATTTCCTTCAGTTGTAATTCTACTTTCCTTTTGTAATAAAAATCTATGGGTTGAAATCTTATAAAATTTGTGTTAGCTTGAGTATGACATCAACGTCAATATTTTAATTTTCCTTGAAGTCTCTCATTCATATCGGGTCCATATTTGCATGTTTTAAAAATTAAAACATTAATTGGTCTTAGAAAGTAAATTTTGTTTGTTTGGAGATAGGGCCTCCCTCTGCAGCCTAGGCAGGTCTTGAACTCTTAATCTTCCAGCGTGCTATGGTTATAAGGCTATGACACTATTCTTGGTGTCATTAAAAAAAATAAGAATCTTCAAATAAAATGAGTGCATGAACCTTTCAGGGTAGGTGTATATGTACAAGTCTCCTTCTAAATGTGAAAGATTATTTGGTTTCTACTCCCATTTTTACCTTAATAACTACAGATCTGGACACATAATCTATGTGACTTTTGCTTGTAGGTATGTGAATATGAGTAGATGGGGCATGATGTCAATAGTAAATCAAGAGTAGCCCAGATTAGTTCCTAAGGGCCACCACAATCAACAAAGGGTTGAAAGAAAATGAATTAGAAGCATTTGCTCCAGCCTTAGAAGATCCTGGGAAGGGCACAGGTCATAAGCACTTTCCAGATACCCTGATAAATGCTAGACACCTTTTCAAACCTTTCCTTGCTATGCAAGTCATTCTGCAAGGTCTAATGACCCCTAAAAATGAAGCACAAATAATCATTTTATGTGCTCATTGAGCCAAACTTGGTAACCTAAATCAACCAAATAGCAGGTAAATGTGCTTTTAATTGTATATTATTTAATAAGAAATGTAGAAAATGCTCTGTAATTACTCATATGGTGCTTGTCTGGAGACGCTTAAATGACAGCTCATTTTCCACTGCACTAGATCCCCCACCCATGGGGTCATTTCTCTCCCAGGGCAATTCCAATCCCTGTTCATCCCTGCCTTTGTCTTTGAGATGGAAGTTATACAACATTTTTCTGTGTGCATCTGCTATGTAGTACAAGATTCATCTTAAAGCTTATATTTTACATTCTATCCCTTGCCTTAATTACATGGAGCATGAAGTTTATGTTTGATGGGCTCTCCAGCTTTACAGTACCATAAAGAGAATTTATAAGCCTTTGTTAAAAAACCACTGTCCATGTAATTGGCAAAACATGGGATTATCTGGGGCTACTTCTTAGAACGTAATATTTTCTCTGCATTAAGAATAGTATGAGTGGAACTGAAACAGTACCTGTGTAGTCTGGAGTGAGTTTAGTCATCAAATGGCACCTAGTTGGAATCTCTGCTTTCCACCTTGTAGGCATGCCTACTGGAGAAAGCCAGTTCACACACGCCTCACACAAATATTCACATCAGTGTTCACATTTGCTATGCAAAAGCAGTGGCATGTATTTAAAAGGGTGTGGATCCAACCAGCAGCACAAGCCATTCTTGGGGATCTTTTCAGTAGGATGGAGTATACAGGGCCATATCGTTCTTGGCCACCTACCTTAAGAATAAATTGATACCTTCTATGAATTATTTATAGACTATGAGATGAACTTGATACAGACATTGCCTCTCAGGTTCCAACTTCCACAGAAGAATAGGCAGTCTCCAGTGAGCAATTGGCTCATGTTGTGTTTTTCTGTTTCCTGGAATCATCGTAATAAGTCTTTGAAGTATTGTCCTCCTTGAAGTCAACTTACCTTCCAATGCAAGCATCCTTGGGCAGATATCCCAGTAAACTGTTACAAAATGCAGTGAAAATAAATGTCTTACCTCCACCATGGACTCATTATGCTGTTTTTGCAGATAGAAAACCTGAACTCTTGGGGCAAGACCAGGCCTTCCCTTGTCTGTGTCTGGGTAGGGTGTGTGTCAAACAACATTTTTAAAATTTGTTCTGTATTATTTTAAATGGAAATATCCATACTGTATATTGTGATGTATACATAAAACATATATTCATGTGGCCATGTACGTTCACAGAGCAATAGATTAATTAGTATTTTTATTTTTCTTATACCAGTGAATATTATCATCAGTGAATTGTTCTTAACATAGTCCTTGTAGTTTTGACTTACCGCAGTATGTAAAGCCTTTAGAATAACAGACTACATCTCTGGATGCTTCTGCCAGATGCTCGTCTGGGCATGTAGAAAATGTGATTCTACATCTATGCCAAGCAGTGGCAGAGCCTGGAGGGATCAGCACATCCCTCAGACATGGGGAGGAGTCTGCC